AGTGCCACCTCTGCTGAGCCCGTCTCTTACCACAGAGTGAATCACAGGGAAGGGCTGGGAGCAAACATGGAATAGTTTATTGTCCTTTTTAATCAGATCTAGGACAAAATCCTCAAGATGTGGGCTGGAACCTGGAGAATTCCCCTGTGCCAGGCCAGGCTGGGAGCTTGGGACAGGCAGGGATGCAGCTTTCTCTTTCTGGCCTGTAACTATTCAAATCTCTATTTTTTAAGAAACCTCTGTGTTACATCCTGGCTTCACAAGACACTGCTGTTCCCAGCAGTTCATGAAACAACACAGACATGCACGAGCTGCCCAAACCTGCTCCCAAACACTGATTTTAACCAAGGACTGGAACCAGAGCATTGAGTACAGCAGTGGCAGGGTGGGCTCTTCAGGGTGGGCTCTTCAGAGTGGGTTTTTCAGAGTGAGTTTTTCTGGGTGGGCTTTTCAGAGTGGGTTTTTCAGAGTGGGTTTTTCAGAGTGGGTTTTTCAGAGTGGGTTTTTCAGGGTAGGTTTTTCAAGGTGGGTTTTTCAGAGTGAGTTTTTCTGGGTGGGCTTTTCAGAGTGGGTTTTTCAGGGTAGGTTTTTCAGAGTGGGTTTTTCAGAGTGGGTTTTTCAGGGTACGTTTTTCAGAGTGGGTTTTTCAGGGAAGGTTTTTCAGAGTGGGTTTTTCAGAGTGGGTTTTTCAGAGTGGGTTTTTCAGGGTAGGTTTTTCAGAGTGGGTTTTTCAGAGTGGGTTTTTCAGGGTGGGTTTTTCCACTGCCACCGAATGGCTGGCAGGCCGGAGCTGGCTCCCTGTGGCAGCAGCCCTTGGCTCTTTGTCATGGTGATCAGCAATGCTTCGCTGTTGTCATGGCTGCGGGGTTACTACTGAAGCCAAAGCACTGCACAGCCCCTTTATTCATAGTTTCAGTGTATAAACTAATTAAGTCAACTGAAAGCAGCAGTCTGTTCCCCGTGCCTTGTTTTTCTAATATGGGGGATCAGATAGACCTGATTCCTGCCGTCCTCCAAAACATCCAGTCTGACTCCATTTCACCTCCCTGGCTGAGTTTAGTGCCTTAACATCGAGCAAAGTTCACTGATTATTTAATTGTCCAGAAACTTCCTTGCAAAATGGAAAAGGTCTCTGGAAAATGTCTTTTGAGCTGCTAGGATGAGGCTGAGAGCCAGTGTGCTGCAGCTGTGCAGCATTCCTTATCACTGCTTTACTCGGGGCAGGAACACGGTCACTATATTTAGTTTCTGAGTTTATGCATTGCTGGGTAAAAAAGAAAAATGGCAAAAGGGCTGGGGGAGGATCTCAACAGAGCTCCTCAGCCGTGCCCCAGGATGGGAGGGTGGGAGGATGGAGAAGGAGAACCCTGCTGCAGCTGGTGGGCACAGTGTCCCCTCCGGCCAGGGACACACACAGGCTCATTTTTAATTAAAACTTCACATCAGCAGAGGCTCTGTGGGAGCCCTGGGAGCGGTGGAAGGAACCCCACTGTCCCTGTGAGGGAGCAGAGCCTCTGCTGGGAAAGGGTTTGGGAGATTTGGTGTCCCCACTCATGTCCTGGGCACTGCTCAGCTCAGCAAAGTAAAACCAGATAGGGACCCTAAAAATCCTCTTAGTGCTGCTGTGGTGTTTCCCAGGAGGGCAGTGCCGGGGGGGCAGCCCCTCACCACCCTCCCAGGAGATGCAGGTGCCATGGACCTTGTCAGGGTACAAAGGGAGCTGCAATCTGCACTCCTGTCCTACACGGAGCTCTTGGCCATGGCAAGCACAGGGGACATGTGCCCCTTCCAGCTCTTCGCTGCTCCACAATCATGCAGCAATAATGGCTTTGGTTGCTTTCTTAGCAAATATTTTTACTCTTAATCTTGTTTTGACAGAATATTTGTGGGGAGTAAACACAATGGAGGCCCAAATATAACAAATCTGTGAGTGGGAGAGGATCTTCTCTAGCTCCAGCACCAGCTGGAGCTTGTGCCCCTCCAGGTGCCACTGACAGGTGGCACTGTCCTGACACAGGAGGTGTGAGATTTGGGACGGGCAGAGGCTGTGTCCTGCCCAGCAGAGCTCAGAACATGCAGGGACTCACTGTAATGTCCCCAGGAGAGACAGCAGGGGCTCGAGATTGCAGACAGGGCTGGCTGTGAGGAACACGGGGGGCAGGGGAGGGACAGGGCAACCCCAGAGAGAATTTAACCAGAACTGAAGTGTTATGTGCCACTCGTGGGTTGGGAGAAGGAACCCACGACTCCAGTCCTGTTTTATTGTTCAGAACTTACATCAACCTTTCAAAACTCCTGGGCTTAGACCATTCCTTGGTGGAGGTTCCAGCACTGCCCAGCTCCCTGACCAGGGCTGTGCTGCTTTCTGGATTGAGCATGACTGCCTGAGGTCTCTGCTTGGGTCTGAATCCAACCCGTCCCTGCCCCATCCGGGGACTTGTTTTCCTTCTAGGCTGGTTGAGTTTGGGGGTCTGATATGGCCAAATTTCTTAGGCAGCAATAAACTAGCTGCCACTGAAGAAGTTCTCCCAAAGAGCTGCTGTTTGTGTTTGCCAGTCAAAGTGTGCTGGGATAAACTTTTTTTAACACAGCTGTGCTGTAGGAAAGTGGCAGAGACAGTTCTGCAGAGAGAGCTGACAGTGACTCTGCTGCTGAGCCCCCCCTGCCAACGTGGGGCTTTGTGAATTCACCCAGCAGAACTGGTACCCTGGGATCTGATCACCTTCACTGCAAGCCAAAAATAAGCAACTTCTACATGCAGCTGAGAATGTTGTGTTGTAGCAAACTACAGACCTAGTCTGGGCTCCCAGGTGAAGGGACACACTCATTCCAGTGAAGGAAGGATTTCATGACTGATAAACATCAGCTTCTCTTTTTCAGCCCCACCAAATGAAGCACAACAAAAGACAACTACTGATAAATACTCTTAGGGATAAGAATCAGGCTGGAAGAACTACATGAGTTAAAAGTTAACTCCTCTCTTCAATGGGGATCAATTAGTCTTGAGTTAATGCAGGCTGGAAATTAGAAAACAGTTGATAGTTATGGGAGGATAAAAATTCTCGAGCACCTTGTGATAGCAGAAGTGGTTTGAGAAGCTCATGGAAAGATTGTGCAAAGGAGTAGAAATTCCTGAAAGGAGAAAATGGCTCTTTGTTGTGAGTCCTGAGGGATTTGGTGACTACCACAGCTGGAAACAGGCACTTTTGGTTTTTCCCCTGCTGGATTCCCAGGGTTATCTGTGGGGGTCAGAAAAAAAACCACTGTTGGTAGATCATCTAACTTGTGGGTGTTGGGTTGTTACTCTTTCCCATCCTCTCAAGCACTGAAGATTGGTCTCAGAACCAAGATGCAGGTGAGGTTTGCTAGGTGACATTAAAATCCTGGGCTCTGGCTGGTGGTGCTGCCCAGTCCTCAAGGCAAGGTCAGCACTGGGTGGGAAGTGCCCACTTGCAGACCTCAGCCTTGGCACAGGGTGACACAGCTGGGGAGCAGTGCCTGCACATCCAGAGGAGCCCAATAAATGATATATTCACCTTCTTTCAGCAACAGAGAAACAGAATCACAGACTGATATTTCATTTCTCAAAGTACATGTATTTTTGTGATAAAATTCCACACAGCACTACAGAGTGATGTGTTATCACACATCATAAACTTTCCAGCTCTCCTGTGGATTTCCTTGGTCCCCTGTTAGCTGCTTAAGTGGTTTATTTCTGCCCATTCTGGTACAGCCACAGCACTTTTGTGGCCTCTCTACTGAACACCCTGCACTCTCCAGGCCATTGTCCTTTCTTGCTGTTACACAGTACAAGCCCAGAATATTTAAAGCATGTTTTGTATCACATCAGGCTGCTCTAGAAACAGCTCTTCACTGATTGTAAAGTAATTATGGAGGACAAGTTTCACTCAGTCCCAAAATAGCCTGGCATCAAATTTTCAGCTGAAATGAACTGCTGTCTTGCCATTGCCTTGGACACAAACCAACCAAGATGGAGAAGCAGCAGGTCTGGACCCAAGTGGGAGCTGTGAATGTGGCAGAAGAGCTCAGTCATAAAGCTGATGGTGACTTAGACTAATTCACTTTATTTCATTTAATTTATTGTTAGGTTATTTCATTTTATTCTATTGCTTTTACTTTATTTTAGAAACTGTTGGGAAGGCTGAGATTCGTGGGGCCTCTCAGAATATCCAGGCCAAAGTACTGAATTATTTAAACCAAAGACAGAGCTTTCTTCTGAGCCCTTTTAGGTTGGTGGCGAAAAATAACCTCTGGTGGAAGGCTGGGGAAGCAGGAGATGAGGATCATGATTTAGCACTGCTGATGTTCTGCACAAGTTCCTTTGTGCCTGCACAGCACATGGGGCAATGTAAGAAAACACAAGTAACAAAACCAGAGTATTCCTTGCTCTAGCAGGAAGATCAGCCCACACCTCTTGTTCAGATTTAAACCCTATTTAGGCACTGAGGGCTTCTGCCTCCTGATCTTGATTTCTATTCTGAGAAAAGCTGCTTTTCTGATACATGTCCTGATACTAACTCTCCTTGATAGCCCATAGGATCATCAATGGAACCAAGCACCTGGTGGATGCTGCAAATACAGGGATGGACCTGTGGTCACCACTCTTTAGGCATAACTTTGTAAAGTTTCAGTGGTTACTGGAGTCGTGGACTCTGCTGAAGGTCAGGATGCTGCTGGCTGAGAGCTGTGTGTCCTTACAGCTCTAACCTGTTCACTGCTGCTCCTCTAATTCTGAGGAACCACCGTGGCTCAAGGAGAAAGGAGTCCTGGGACAAGGGGTTTTACAGAGAAAACGGGTTAAATGATGCTGCACTGGAGCTCTGGCTGGCTCTGTGGCGGTGTTTGCACTCCAAAGAGTGGGGAATCCCTGGGGAGTTGGCTTTTCCCTCAGTGAAACCTCCAGGATCTTGGGCCACCCCAAGCTCTGTGCTGCACAGTGTCAGGTGTGGAGACCAGAAAGCAGAGGAGTCTCTCCTGGATTGAGGGTCCCAGCAATGGTTTTATTAGGTGAGGGAAAGGAGGGGCCCACGCTGGAAGGGATCAGGTCCAAGAGAGCCCTGAGCATTGCTGTGCAGGGAGTTAAGTATGGCCTGATCTCCAGCGGACAGCACACACTGCACACCAATGGGGAATCTTGAGAGGAGGAGTAAGGGGAGGGGATCACAAACTCCACACCAATAGGGATAAACAGAGGGAGGGAGCAAGATCCAGTAAGCAGTGGGGCCTCGAGGGATAACTGATTGACACAGAAGGCTCTGGAAGAAGGGGTGGGGTTTACAATGATGGATAGGGGGGTAGGGGCAGGGCTGAGGTGACAGACAGGGAACATTCAGGAAAAATAGGAGGGGTTTACATAACTGACAACTGGGGCCAAACCAATACAATCAACAGGGGGAAACAAGAACACACTAACAAGCTTCAACAAATCCTTAACAAAATTAAATAAACAAACTACAACAATTAAATGATGGGGGTCAGCCATTACCAACAATAATTTGAAAGCTTTGAGCTGGTGATAAGGCAAGGAGGCAGGCACAGGTAATTGCTGGGTCTCCAGCTGTTTCTGGAGGAGGACTAGAGAAGGATGAGGATGAAGACATCTGAATAAATCATGTGAAAAGAAAGGAGCCTCCATGAGAAAGGTGCAGAGGAAGCAGCATCAGCAAGGGTGGGCAAGGAGAGACAGAGGGGAACAGGACCTCTTCAAAGTAAATCCAAGAGTTCAGTCACTTTACATCTTTCACTTTACATCTTTCACTGTGCTCTGAGAATTTTTAGTGGGTACCATCCTTCAACTTTCTAAATGTTCTTCCAGTTTTAATGATATTTTAATGTCAAACCAAGTAACCAGTGAACAGCATCAGTTGCTTGAAGTCAAGCACATGAATGCTGTAAATGACAAAGCAAAGTGGAAGGCTAAGAGAGTGAGAGAGTGTGACTGTGACAACAGTTTGGGATGTCAGGATTATCACATGATGGCTGGGTAAAACACAAAATATGTTTTCCATTAATTTAGTTAAAGCCATCTGGTTTTTTCACATATTCTCTCAAAATCTTTCATCTTCTCTCAGTGCCAGAGCTGACCCCTGTTGACTAAGTTATCTTTCACTGAATAGGCTTGTACCCAAAAAAGCCCACTCCTTTTCCTTCAGTGAAGAAAATAGCATGAATCATGTTTTTCCAAGGTTAAATGTATTTTTCGATGTCTATAGGCAGGAAGAGAGTGCTTCTCAGTACTACTACAATTGACTAAAATATCAAAGGATTATTATTTTTTGACCCTGTGATTAGCATTTAATCAAACAAGAGGATACAGGCCTAGTATCACCTTGTCATGAAATAATGAGGGTATTTCCTAGCCCAGAAAATGCTTCTCATTACCATTAGGGGCAGGAGAAAAGTGCATGTAATGCTAAGGGTTTGTTAAGTTCTGAGATCTGCATGTTGCTGTAGCAAAACCTAATCTCTTGAATTCCTAATAATGCAAAGCTTTTTTCAGGGGAAAAAAAAAAAAAGCAAAAAGCATAATTCATGAGAATGTAGAACTAATGATAGAAGAATTGGTGACAGAAGAATGGTAAGTGGAACATCCCAGATTTAAAGGCCATGCAAAGTTCTTGCATTAGATCCATATGATACAGATGATTTGGAGGGCAGTGTCTGTGCTATAAACTGAAGGCAAGGCCTGACATCCCTGATATTGACAGGACTGCAAGTCCAGAATGCCTGCATTCATGGCTAGACTTTGATCATCCACTGGAGGTGACAGGCAATCTGCAAAGCTGAGAGCTGCAAATGGATTACCACTATTGGAAAATGAAGTGCAGGTAGCTGGGAAATACCTTAATTACTTGGTAAACCTTAATTTTGAATTATCTGTCACTGGAATCATGGGGTAAATCAGGCTATCCTGATCTGGTTTTGATCTACTATGTGATTTTAGATCCAAAAAAAAAAAAGGATGTTGGTACTAGTGGGAATGATTTCCCATGTCCACTGGCACTGCAGTGCTTCAGAACAGGCTGCAGTGACTGATGCTCTGAGAGACCCATATTACCAATTTCTGCCACTAACAACCAAAGCATGTGCACAGAGGAAAGGACTAAAATTCCCAGGAGAAGAACTAGCAGGCAAAGAAAATCTCATTTTCTGATTTCCATTTATAGCCTGCCATACCTGTTCTTTGGAAAAATGTCGAGATGAAAAACAAGGGATGGGACCACCATGCTATTTAAGGTGATTTATTGCTCAAGTAAGGAAGGTGAGATATCAGTCTCGAAGGTGTGAGATTTGGAGAGGAGCAACAAGTCAGCCATAGCTTAAAGGTAGCCACGGGTTTCTTCTTCACACAGCAATATATAACATTTTGGTCCAATAGACAGTTAACACAAAACTTGTTTCTACTTATTAACTGATCACTTTTGCCTAATTCTTCCCCACTGTGTGTGTCTTTCAGCCAAAAACCTCGAAGGTCATGTACTCATACACACACACACACCTCTATTATAGCTTCTAGATCCTTAGCCTACCTTATAAATCCCATTATTACAGCTCAAACCTCTCACTATTTTACCCAATATAATTTCTTACTTACTCAAGACATATTCTTACTTATAGCTATAGGAACATTAGTTTATAATTTTCCTACTTGATGTTAGTAAATTAACCTAAGCTCTTTCTAAGGCTGCAGATTGAGCCCTTCAGCACCAGTGGAAGTTTCTATTCTTCCATTTTCCACAGAAAAACAGCAACTATGAAGACTGGGGGTGTTCACTTCCTGGCAGTGTTGCAGCACACTCATGGAGTACTTTGAGTTGCAAATTCTGCCTGGCAGAAACTCAGTGGAGTTAATCATATGTAGCAAATTAAACAAACAAACAAACAAGCTGGTGGGCTTAGGAGGATCTGCAGCAGCTGAATGTTTTCTTACCCTTTCTGGGCAAACTTTCCCAAATTCCAAGAAGAATAAAGACAGAGGGAAGTGGTGGGTTTTGTATCCAGGGTCAAACAATCTATATATGTATCTGCAGTTCACAGACTGAAGCAGGGTGAGAAATTTGTCTGTATTCTTACAATAGTCAGAATTAAAGCTCTCCTGCAGTGAAATTACTGAAGTTAGTCCACCAAGATATCAGCTGTGCTGTTAAAATGAGGTGATGGGCTACTGTGTGCCCCAGCCCCTGTCCCAAAGAGGCAGGTGCTGCAGAAAGGGCTCCTAAAGCACCAGCTGTGGGTAGGATGTTCATTGCCAGCCACAGACATCTCAAGCAGTCTTGAACCTAACATGGATTTGCAGTATGGAAAGAAACGTATAAGAGGCATGAAAGTGGTTTTGACACAGCTCAGCTGGATGCAGGTATCCTCATGGGCTGGTGAAATGGTTCCTGAACATCACCTCCTGTTGCTGAGGAGATTGCCTAGAACATTCTTGCAGAAAGGCTCCTTTTCCCCACTGTTGACTTTGGTGACATGAAAGTGTCTCAGTCCCGAATCTTTCTCTCTAAAACCACAGAAAGAGTAAAATTAATCTCTGCTCAACAGTAAGTGTTAAGTTATAACAAGCTAACTCAAGCTCAGTGTAACTAAGCCCAGAACTTACATTAGAATCATGGCAATTAGCATTTGTGGGAAGGAACACATCACTGCTTTAAATGAAAACTACTTTGCCATTAGCTCAAAGTAGCTTGTAAAAGCTTTCACTATGACTAAGATCTGCAGTAACACTGGAGATCATTCAGCCAAAGATTGTGCTATAATGTCTATTTATGGCTTTAGCATTTTAAGGGTTTTGTGAAGTAAAGCAGCAGGGATGGACTCCCTCGCATCTGCTATGCCTGCTCAGGAATAAATTAGGAGTTACATATTCAATCAAGAATACACGTGGAACTCTTCTTAGAGCTGAATGCCAAACTCTCATCCAGCACTCCACAGGCATAAACAGAGCATGCTACAGTCACTTTGTTTGGAGAAGACAGCTCTGCTGGCATCCCACTGCAGCATCACAGAGCCTCTCACCAAAAGGGTGGCTGGCTCCATCCCAGGAGTGTGGAAGGAGAGGCAAAAGGTGCTCTTAGTTCAGAGATATCCCAGATGTGCTTTGTATTCTTCCAAGAGGGAAGTAAATCCCAAAAGATGTTTCCAAACATCTTTGTACTGAAAGATGGACCGTGGAGGTGCAGCTTACACAAGGCTCCAGAACTCAAAGATGCACCCAATTCAGACCCATTACATTTCTCTCCTGGGGAGATGCAAAGAGGACTGTGATGGCAATATCCTTCCTTAGGCAGCCTTTCTTTGGTTTTCTTATGGCAAGTGTCTTGGTTTGAAAAGACAGGGATCTGCTAAGGAAAGCAAAAACCTCCCTTGAAATGGAAAAATGTAAACCACCCCACCTCCCTCCAAAATTATAATTAATCTCTTCAAGATTACAATCTTGAAATCAAGGTGCTCTCAGGCAAAGATATGGGAATAGGAATAACAGTTCTTTACTAGGAAAATTAAAATAAAAATAAAAATGCAGTAGTACAGAAAAACAACAAAAAAACAACTCACTGACAGTCAGAACACAACCTGACCCCCTGTTGGGCAGGGTGTTGGTGGCAGTCTGATTAAATGGTGTCTGCAGTGCTCCTGGAGTGACAGATGTGGTTCTGATGAAGCAGTCATCCCACAGAAGGGTGTAGCTTACCTCTGAAGGTCCTGTGGTGTAGATGGGCCCTGTTCCTCTGGGAATCCAGTGGAGAAAGGCTGCCTGTGGTGTTCTGAGTCTCTGATTATATCCAGGTAGGAATGCTCGGCTCCTCCCCCTGGGTGGAGCATCTCCCAACGGGCTGATGTCATTTTATCAGTCCTGCAGTGAGACTCGATGGCCCATGAACAGAAGAGATCCCCCTGGAGGGAGGATGGGTGCTGGGAGAGATAAAGAACACTGCCTCACCTGGTTTTAACAGCTGGCAATAGAACACAGACTTGTGCTTACATCTTGCATTGCAACCCAACACAGCAAGAGAGATCTTTTCTAATAAATAACTCCTCTTTCTTATGAGCTAGCTGTTTTCAGTGTCCAGAGGACAGAAAATAGATCCTATCTGCCCAAAACAGCTCACAGAAATCAACTATCATTGTGTTTTATTTACTGGGTAAAAGGAGGAAGATGGCTTTTAAATTAGAAATTGAAGCCCTTCCAGAACTGCAATATAAGATCCCAAATCAATCATTCTTCACACAGTTACCTCCTACTCCATGAGCTCCTACTACCACAAAAATTGGTTGTTGCCAACTGAGCTGAGTGAATAATTTGCAGTTTCATGTTTGTTAGAGGAATTTTTCCTTTTTCTCTTTTCATTATTTGTCCACAAGCAGATTGATTTGTTCCAATATATTTTTTCCAAACACATGTGCAGTAACCATTCTGGAAGTAACTCTTGCATTTGTGAGCAATTTGTTGTAAGAAGTCTTCAAGCATTTGTCCCAAGTCCATTCATTGTATATATGAACTTGCATCACGTGTCTATTTCTGTGAACAAAACATCAAAAAAGCCTGTCTTGAGTATTCTCTCTGAGAATAATTGAAATTATGCACAACTTCACCATTTAAAAATTACTTAATTCCTAGAAATAATGGCAGGATTCTCCTGGTTATTGTAACACTTGAATGAAAACAAGGCTGTATTGGAATCCCAGCTGTAGAGTCTGACCAGGACCATGCTGGACTCAGTGCAAAACTCTTCTTTCTCCATTTTTTCCAGATGGAGGAAACTGCCCTTTTCAGACTTTAAATCACTGTCTCTTAAGAGAAAAGTTCAAAGGAACGATTGCACTTTTCAATGGGATCTGGCTGGGATACCTTGTGTCCTCTTACAAAGAAAAGCATTGGAGTGACTCTGACAGTATGGAAAAGGGGTAAAAGTCAAACCCTGAGTGCTATGGCACAGCAGAGCTAAGGAGCTTTGGAGTTTCAAATCCAAGTTTCGCGGTTGGCCTAAAATGTTTGCTTTGAAGGTGCCTGTAAAATACAGGTTTGGCACTGGCTGGTGCAGCAGGGAAATGCCTTGCTGGTATTCCAGCTACAGTAAACAGCTGCTGCCACTGCCACCCCAGCACTCTGTGATGTTAAGCAGGAAAAATGGAAATGAAAAAGTCATGGAATTCAAGGATGATGATGATTGTGATTGTAAATGGGACATGGACAGGCATCTCTTCCTTTGTTCCTTACTGTCCACTATGAAAACAGGAAGACCTCAAAAAACAGTAAAAAATAAAAAAAAATCCACATAGAAATGCTGCTAGTGAGAAACCAATTACCATTTTTTCAAATATGAATTTTGGAAAAGAAGTTTTATTTTACTTTTGCTCTCTAACTTCTTCTGAAATGATTTTTGAATCTGTCCAAGCAGAAAAGACTTAGTGCACTGTGTTCATGTCTGAGACGGACTGAAATGTTAACCCTCACTGCTCATGAACAACTCCTCAGATAATGTAGTTTGTGACAGAAATAAGTTGTTGATGTTAAGCATCCAAGTTCCCTGAACCCAAGGTTCAAACAATCAGTTTCAGGCTTGTCCACCAAGCTGGGTGCCAGATGCAGCCCAGCCACAGGGATGGGGAAGCCCCATTTGCCTTGCCAAGGTCAGTGGAACCCATACAAACCATGAGAGCCCTGGCTGTGGCACAGGGAGAAATCACCGTGAGACATTCAAATGAGATCATCATATTGTGGTAATTTGCATCTCATTTGGTGATGTGGTTGTACACTGCCAACACAGCGCTGGAAATCAATACAGGACAGCTCATGCCCTGTCTTGTCACACTGCTGGCCCTTCAGAGTGAGATGCTTTAACTCTGCACTCAGAAATCCCTCAAAACAGGACAATTATTGAAGCTGCACAACAATAATTTACACTTACAAAACCTCCCTACTTTTCCTTCCACCTGGAGCAGAACAGGGAACTCTTAGGTGGTTTTATTGTCTGCTGAAGTGAAATTTTACTCTTTGGCAACAGCAAATAAATCCATGTTTCTTCTGCTGAGTTGCTTAATTAGTGTGGTGCTGTATTCTTGCTCTAGAAAGGCCTGTGCATTCTCCTTGGAGGAGGCAATACTGCATGCAGGAGTAGAAAGTCTGCTCTGGAGCAGTGGCACAGCAATATGTGCACCAAGAGATGTGTACAGGAGTCTCCTTCCTGGTAGATGTGCATCTCAAACATAATAGAAACTATAAATTTAGTTTCACTTATAGTTTATGCTGAATCACACAAAATGTGATCACCTCAGAGACCACAGCATTATTTCTTTGCACTTTTCACCACTTGCTGCTGTTTTTTTTTCCAGCACCTACGTGCTGCAACTTCCCATTTGGTATTGTGATACCAATGGAGTTTTAAGGCAAAGCAGTGGGGATGGGCTAGCATCAAACTTAAAAAAATTACAGCTCTGTAAGAAGATAGATTCTTTCCATGCATTTCCTGTAATTATTACTAAATAAATAATAATGTAAATATGTAATTATTATTTCCAAAAACCTACAATAGTATATATCAGAGAGGAAAGTTTCTGTGCTAACAAACCCCGAAGTCTGCCTGCCTGAGCTTGAATCTGCATATTCAAGTTGACTACAGCGCTGAAAGGGCGGCAGTCCCAAATCCGAGCTGCAGCAGGCAGCTCTGAGCTGTGGCGCTGCTCTGGACAGCTCTGCTGGTGTGAAACAGCACAAAATGAGGTACACCATGTACTCTATTCCAGAGAGCAGGTATAATCTCTGTAATTACACCACAATTGCATGGCAAATACCGTGAAAATACAGAGTAACTACATGTTCCTGCAGCTCACCAATTAATTATGCACTGCTACTAATGAGTTCAAGGATAAATTATCATTGCAGGATTTAGGTGCCTGCTTAGGTGGGTCATAATGGAATTCATGCTATTGGAGGTTTGTTTTTGTTGATTTTCCAGTGGAATGGGGAAGGGAAATGAGTTACCTCATATGCCCAAAGACTTAAGTGTGTATTTTGTCCTGGTACAGCAGAGGCACACTGCCATACAAAATAACATGGCACAATTAGGAAAACTGGGTGAATAAACAAACAAAAATAATTTCCAATAATAAATCACTTTTCAAATTCCATTTAGTGTCTCAGTGTGGTTCTGAGACCTCTTGTCCGCTTTGGCCGGGTCGAGCGTGGCAGAATGAATCAGGCTGGGTGTGACAGTGCCCAGAGAGAGATTTTAATGTTCACAGGGACTGCATGGTCTGAGGGGCTGCATCCAAACACCTGGGGCATGGTTAACTTCACAGTCTAAAGGGGTGCCTGAGGGCAGGGGTCCAGGGGTGAGCACAGCCCAGGGACATGACCTGTTATGGAATGACTCCATCAGCATCCCCCCAGCACCCCCTGCCAAGCCTTGGCTTCATTCCCTCCGTGTCAGGGACCTGGTCCAAGGTGTTACCCACCCCAGCTAATTCAGTTCCCACAACTCAGTAATCCTCCAAAGCAAATGTTTAAAATCACTGGTATTGCATGCAGTAGAACTGCTATGGGTTTCCTGGCCCAGTGTTTAAATTTGCATGGGCTAAAACCAGAGGAAAACATCATTTCACCAATGTCACTAGCAAAACTATCAGTTGCAGCAAGGACAGGGCTCTACCCATGCAGCTTGCCTGGACTCTCTAAAGAGTGTATTTTTTATGGTATCAGACATAGATTACCATATGAGGCCACTTCATAGGCTGTGCTAGCTCTCCTCTGAGCTGCACTGCAGGTTTTTGGACTACAGCTTGTAACTTTTAACAGGTATTTTAATAGTATTCAATAAGATAAAATTAGCCTCTCTATAAACATTGCTCTTCCCCAAAGTGAAGCTTCCCTTTAAATTATGGTTCCACAATGGTTGTTTGGTCAGCCATTTATACTGACTTTTACAACCTGTGTTGGATCACCTTGGGTTTTATTTGTAATTTTTTTTTCAATTTCATTAATCTCATATTGATTTTCTTCCTGAAAGATGTTGTTGACGTTTCTGAGCCTTTTTTTCTATTGAAGTTCTTGATCTATTTTTTCCAAAAAATGTCCAGTGTCTATTGCAAAGGAAAATGTTGGTCTTTAGGGACTGCAGAATCAGGACAAGCCGAGACAAAATAGCCAACCCTTATTTTCTGTTGCTTATAGAAACCTGAAGTACAGAATAAGACCCCACTGAAACTGGCAGTGCATAACTGCAGATGAAAACAGCAAATAACTTCAGAATGACTGTTGGTTTGAATGGGTTTATGTTTATGAAATGTACATTGACTTCAAATAAAAGAGAGCTTTTTGTCTCCAGCACTGTGAGCAAGGCAGTCTTAATTGAGGCTCCTGAGCACAGCTGCTGCAGCTGATGAGATCCTCTGAAGATGGAAACCTGGATTACAGGGAGGATGATAAAAGAGAAGGAAACATACCTTGTTTTCTTCCACTCATTTTACTCCCTTCTCAGTCTACCCTGGAGCCTCAAGAACTGTTTGTAGGTTCTCCTAGAACACAGCCATCTGCCAAAGTGAATGCAAATGATGTTTCTTCACTCCCAGGGTCTGCTCTTGCTCTCCCTGAAATCTGCAGCGAGATTCTTGCTGTCTTCAGTAGTACCAGTGACAGGCTGACCAGGCCTTGAAAGTCCCCTACTGAAAAAGAGCTAAGAGGAGTGATTGGGAGAGATACTCATTAATAACTATTTAGGAGAACATGGTTTCCTTGAAAGGCTAATTATCTTGAGAGCTACCCATTCAAAAAAGTCTGATCAATGGGAGAACAAATTAAAAATGAAGGCTCTCTCATAAAACCAGACAGTGGAATACTGCATTCAAGAGGACAGTCACAAATTAAAAGAAATGTCAACATATCAAGTGGTAGGAACTTCAAAAGGTAATTTTTTTTCCTCATTTTCATATGCATTCTTCATGAGCAACATCAAGAAGTGTAACATGCTAATAGCTAATAACAGGATAAGATTCACTAATTTACTAACTGAATAACTTAATGTGTATCAAAGGAATCATTTTCTCATTTAATTCTTTTTTTCAGATCTAACACTAAGCTGGGTATTATCAAGTAGATAAAACTGCACAGATTACCAGTCGTCATTAAAATAGTAATTTCGGAATTAAGATTGTTTTTTTTTATGTTGGATGTCTCCTTTAGGTTTAAGGAATCACATACCTTTTACTCTCATTATAAGTCAGATTTCAGAAAAGGAATCAGGAAGATATCTTTGTGAACATGGGATGTCTTGCTGAAAACAGAGTGTTTTCCAGAGACAGACCTGTCATGATCTTAAACTCTGAAAATGTTGAAGACTGCAGAGGGAAGAGGTTACCCAGAGGGAGATACCAAACATTTGGCCAGGTAAAATCACAGCAGACCTAATCCAGTGATGGTTCAGTCATGCTTTGAGCAGAAGCTGATCTAAAGGCCCCGTCCAGCCAGTATTTCTATGGTATAACTCAGATTTAAGCCAGCAGTGTTATTAAAATCTTAATGTAGATGATGTCCAACACAACTACCAGTTCACAGAGCAGACAAGAGGAAGACACACCTCCCCAGCTGGCTTGGCTTCTCACCCAACAGGGCACACCACTGCAGCGTGTCCCACACTGGGATCACCTTGCTCTCCTCATATCCCAGCTACAAACAGGATGTGTTGTGATGCCCCTTTAATGGAGAAGGCCAGGCTGTTGGAACTAATGGTTTTGTGGCAGATGGAGCAACATTTGCAATTGGGAAAAAAACAATCTCACACTGCCAAAACATTAATAATTCCGCTTTCTTGGAAATATTCTGCCACTGTCACTGCTACATGTAAATTTGTCATGTAAATATGACTTCTTCCAAGGAAAAAGGCATGGTTCAGCAGGCTTTCTGAGGACAAGGACATCACTGCACCTGTTTTTTCTCTCCTTCAAAACCATTTGCTTCCAGTCACAAATTTTCAGAGTTGCAGCACCATGGGGGTGATACTCCTGCTGATTTCAGTGAGAGACAGGAGTGAGCAGGGCTGGTTTGGGCAGGCTGGCCCATGGTCCTCACCCAGCTGAACCAGGCAGTCAGAACATGGAGAAACCCAGCAGGGAATGGCTTATTTTGGTTTGTTTGCAAATTTTTGTACACTGTATCTCTTTCTGTGAATGCCTGTGTTCCTTACACTGTGAGAAAAACAAGAATTTCCTGATCTTCCTTTATACCACACAGTATTTTTCATAGCCTTATAATGCCTTCTATTAATTTCCTTTTAAAAATAGACACTCATAATCCTTTCAAATTCTGCATCTATACAACATCAAAGCATTTCAGTGAATTTTTCAGTCCATTTATATTCCAGATGCCTGGTGCTGGAGTCAGACATGTGGTGGTAGCACTGCAGGCAGTAAAGATGTCCAACCTCTCTGCAGCTCTCCTTGCTGTAATTATTGATCTCTGGGGAAACTGAGCCTCAATCACCAAAAAACCTTTCTGTGATGCCCAACAGTTTATCAGAAGGCAATGGGACCAGTGGGCTTTTAGTTTAAAAAGACAGTCATTGTCCCTGCACTGAGGAGGAGCTGAGACTTATTTTTAACTTCACACTTTTCTATACTCCAGACAAAAAGCTGAATAATTATATTTTCATTTAGGAGGAGATTACAAGACAAAGAAATAGTCAGATAGATTTTAGATTAGAGCTTCTTCCCCGAGAACAGGGGCTGTTGCAGTGTGGTCCCATGCCAGAGATAATCTTCTTTTCCCAAATACTGTCAGCTGGGCCAATATATTTTCAAGAATTGCTGCACTAGATTGAGAGTTCTACAACATGATGCATCTGCAAATTTAGATTACTCTCCCTCTGTCAATGCAGGGATTAAGAAGTCATGAAGGTAATCTGCATCATAGTGATATGATAATGACTGCTCTGAAACGGAAAAATATCACACATCTGTTTGTATTCTCCAACTTGAGACATACCTTTAGGAAGTCAGTTTCTGATGACATGTTTGGGCAAACGATGCCTTATCTGTGTGCTTTTTCCATGCATCCTCCTGATGTGGGAACCTGAATGCCATAAGCAGAAAGCTATGTTAATTGTACAGGTTTGGAAGTCAGTGTAGTCCAAAACATATTCCTCAAGACCATCAGCCTCACAAAGTCTGCTTGAGAAGCTGGAGATGCTCTGTATCTCTTAGAGGAATCACAGAAAGTGTTTGTAACAAGAATCTCCAACAAAGAGCATCTTGGCTTTATGGATAAGACAGATTTCTGTTTCCTAAAACTAAAAACCACTGTGTGTATGAACTGGTACTGTAAAAAGTGCAAGTAGAAAAGTTCCACTATTGCTGGACTCCTCCTCAGTTTAGGCAGTCAGCAAAATCACTTTCTCAGTACTGAGTTATAGTAAAGAATTGTTAACTGTGGTGTAACTGAGAGCAAAGACAAGGTCAAGTCAATGGGGCTTGCTTCAGCTTGTGACACCTCAAATAAAACCTCTCAATTTGCTTGGATCATAAAAGTGAAAGTATAGAGAAAATAAGAGCTACAAAAATAGAAGTTTCTTACTAAAGCAGTTTTTATGGAAATGCTCACAGTTGAGCATTTAGTGCTATTTGTTTCTAATTCGGGCTTCATTCTCCATACTGTATGCTAACAAACTTAGACCACTTAATGCAAGTGCCTTACGCATTTTTCTTTAATTAAATTTCTCCAAAGAATCACATTACACAAGCATTTGCTAATACAAAAAAAAACCACTCAGAGATCCTGGGTAAAATCCAGGCACCCCTAAGTAACCAGTAAAATTCCTACTGAAGACACAATTCTACTGTACAGGTCTTTGCTTTATATGAGTAATAAATACTATCTTGTCACCTATGAATTAAATTCTTCAGTACACTGTTCTAGGAACCTTAGCTCTGAATGAGCTCCACACCACCTCTTACCACTTCCCTTACTGGATAAAAACAATGTTACTTCAGAGTCCAATAATGTCTGTTTTCAGGTGTGTTTATAATTGCTGGAATATGCAGCAGATGCCAGTTTAGACAAGCCTCCTGCCTGTGGATAGAGGTCTAATAATCTGCAGGTTTACTATAGAGTTTGAGCACAGGATTACCTGCACTGAGCTCTGGGAGAAACCTGAACCATTAGAATTTAGGAATTCTCTTAATTGTTCACTAATAAGTTATAAGTGATTAGTACATGAAAGTGGTGTAAAGATTAAGATTTTATTATCGTTAATAGAAGACCAGGTGTAACAATTTTTTGTATTTCATTCTGAACTATTCTTTGTGTGAGATGCTGAAATGGGTAGTTCTGCCATTCTTCCTCTGACACAGGTTTTTAACATATTTTTTTCTTCTATAACTCAGCCATACATTGCTGTAGGATTTGATGTTTTGGGGAAAGATCAATCCAGGCTGCTCTAGACAAGCACTGGCCAGCAAGGGCATGAGGAGGAAGGTTTGAGCTGGTGCCCTCTCCTGCTGTGGCTCTTGGGACATCACCATCCTGCAGCTGCAGGAAGGACAGGGGGCTGCTCATGTGCCTCAGTGCAAAGTTACTCTCCTTACTGGTGTTTTTTTGCAGCTCTAAGATGTTACCTAGTTACCAGCAAATCACAGCCTAGTAACCACTCAGAGAATTCTGGGGATTATTTACAGCAAGGTAAGTGACCCTGAATAAGTTGGGCTGTCCGATTGTACAACAGGATGAGACTCACACAAAATTTATTTCAAGTGTTAAGATTAAAGCTGTGGTATTAAATTAATTACCATTAGTCTTGACAACACTAATTCTATTTAAAATCTATTGAAATGGTTTGAAATTAAACTTCAGGTTCTCTTCACCTGCAACCCAGCCCTGAAGCTGCGTTGTCCATCCCATGCCAGGTTTTCCCATTTCATTGAAGATTTCTATTAACAGACCATAAGTGGATATAAAAAAAAAACCAGAAAAAGTGAGATCACCCAATTCCCCAATTCTGCAAACAGCTGTGTTCGCTCCCTTCACTTTTGAGAAAGATTGTCCGAAATTTAGTTTTGTGAAGGGGCTTCATCCTCCCCTTTTGTGGCTCTGGACCATCCATCCCTCCTGCCTCCCCCAGTGCCGGCTAAGCGGGGTTGCTAAGCGACATGTTCTTCTCTTCTGTATTTTAGCAGAGACGAACAGATCAAAGACACCCACAGTCCTGAATTATTTTATAAATGAATTTAAAGAGACACTCTACTGTGCTGTATTTTGTGGGGGGAGATCAAAAGTTGCTGGGTATGGTGACAGTAAATGGAGAATTAAACTGACGTCTTCTGGAAAATAAAAATGCTCTCATAAATGAGAGCTGTGTACTATTTGCCTTTTTTCTTGTTTGTTTGTTTGTTTGTTTTCTTTTTCAGACTAGATTACAAATTTTTTATGCTAATAAATGTTTCTAGTTTCATGGCAGTCAAGACATTGGGGGCAGGCCAGGCTGCACGTGTGTACAACTTTCAGAAGTCAGGGTTTCTGTCATCGAGTGACAAGTTTGTGGGATTTAACTCTTTTCATCTCCTTCAAAAGAGATTTTCTATTATCCAAAAATATTTAATTCTTTCATTTTTAAGCATTTTCCTGACTGATGTTAGGCAAGAAAGCCACAGGATAAAGTTCAAGTGATGTATCTTTAAAAGAATAAATGAAGATAAGGAAGTAACCGGTGTAGATCAGGCAGAAAATCTATGACACCAATATCTCAGACCCTGCTGAAAGGAATGAAAACCAAATGGCTAACCTGTAATTACAAAAGCTGGGAATACACAACTTTAAATGTCACCTCTTACAAGACCTTCACGTTCCTGGCATCAGCTCAGCTCGGCTACTCTGTGCAAGCTGTGGGGTTTGTAGGAGCAGGCTGGCACTGAGGCAGGTGTTTTCTGAAACACAAAAGGGAGGGAATTATTTGCCCTCATATCTACTCAGTTTCAAATATCATCAACGATGTAAAAAGGAAAAAAAAACAAACAGCACTTGGTAACAAAGTGCAAGAATTTTTCATGATTTTTCATTTCCAAAGCTGCCGTGTCTGGCACAGCCCTCAGAAAATGGAGAGACACACAAAAAACACACTTAAAGCCTTCCTCAGACAAGCAAGATAAACCATTTATGTAGGAAGTAAAACTCTTAGGTCAGATGGCTGCAAAAAAATTGCATGTAAAATTTTTGCCACATGCAAATGTCATTGCTCTGTACCAGCCACCTGAGCTGCACAAGCAAATGTCTCCTTAAAGGCTGTTCCAGGGGCTTGCTCAGGCAAAGCTGTCCCTGCAGCTCCAGGCACAACATCACTGGGGAAAGGTGTGCACAGGGGATCCCACTCTCTTCACTGTGTGCCTGGTCACAGAGTGCAGCAAGCTCCTCACTCTTGTCCTAGATCAGCAATCTCACATCAAACTGAGGGAGATTAGTGAAACCAATACACCCTAGGACTATAAAGGGATTCATCTCACGTAAATCTTCACCAAAAAAATAACGGTGTTAGGGTTTATTTACATGCATTTTATTTCCCAATGAGAAAACAAGCCTCCCTTTTTTTCCTGCATCATTAAAAGTCTCTTCAAAATTCCGACTGCTTAGATTTGGCACGTAGGATCCACTGTACTACAGCTAACCTACATTCTCGTAAAAGCACGTATTTTAGAACAGGGCTCAGCCAGCTTCCCCATTTGTAGATATCAATTACACAGGCAAGATATGTGCTTTACTTTCACTGACAGAGTGTTTTATGTATAAACATCTTGACCAGCACTACGCTGTCAGTGGATAGCAGATTTGGTGTGTTTTGGCTGAATTTCTGAAGGGGAAAACTGTGACTTGCACTCTAAATATTTTTTCTGGAGAATGGATTCCTCTACACACTATGAGCATCTTGTACAGAATACAAGTAAACGTTTGGGAAGGAATTTCATGCTTATGGCAGGTACTGATTTGCCAGTCTTGGAAGCTGAACTTCCTTGACCCCACTGCACAGCACAGCTCTGGCTGTGGGAGCTCTGCAGGCCAGCCATGTTCCCACCACACCACTGCTCCTGCTGCAGTGGTGAGGAGAGAGCCAGAGAACCCTAGAGTTCTTGAAAGGGACCTCAAAGATCATCCAGTGCCACCCTTGCCATGGGCAGGGATATTTTCCACTATCCCAGGATGCTCCAAGCCCCGTCCAACCTGGCCCTCCAACCTTCCAGGGGTAAAGGGGCAGCCTGTGCCAGGGCCTCACCACCCTCACAGTCAATAATCTCTTTCTAATATCTAACCTAAACCAGTCCTCTGTCAGTCTGAAGCCATTCTCCCTTGTTCTGTCACTCCAGGTCCTTGTAAATAGCCTCTTTCCATTTTTCTTGTAAGCTCCCTTTAGGTACTGGAAGATGGCAATTGGGTCACCCTGAAGCTTCCCTTCGCCAGGCTGAACAACCCCAATGCCCTCAGCCTTTCCTCACAGCAGAGCTGCTCCATCCTTCTGATCATCTTGGTGATCTCCTCTAGACTTGCTCCAACAGGCTGATGTCCTTCCTGGCTGTGCAGGCAGCTTGTTAGGATCTGCATTTCAGGTGAGTTTATTCAAACATCCTGACCATACCATGTTCAGAGATGCAGTTCAGCTGAGCTAGTCCTTTATCTTAAAGGTAAAATGTTCTAAAGGCATTGTGGTAAGAACTTTAGTTAATTTTTATTATTATTATTGGTAGAATTTTGTTTAATGAATGTAAGTAATTTTGCTCTTTGCTTACATCCAGGATGCTGCAAGAACCTGTGCTGCAGCTGGTCTGCTGGATTCCAGATGTGAGCAGCCAGGGCTGGGTTTGGGCCTGGCAACAGGAGATGATGCTTTTGACACGTGGAAGGGCAGTGAAGGCCCTTGAGAACATTAATAACATTACTTGGTGCTTCTACAGTCTTGTGCCTGAGCCTGCTTAAAGCTCAACATAGACTATGAGTAATTAGTGATCTGGATGTCTCTGAAATGATCAGCAGCAGCATTTAAATCATCATTAAAATACAATTAGCAGCCCTTTGAACAGAATGCTGTCGTTCAGAACAGTCTAATTGGTGGCTCGTGGGCCAGTTCTGGACAACAGGAGGATTGTCTGCTTCTCCAACTGCACCAGCTCAAGGAGCACCCTGTCCCAGGAGTGGCAGCCGTGCCTCTGGGAGGGATTGGGAGAGCCATTATGCGACAGGAAAGGCAACAGCACAAAGTATCCCTTGTGCCCAGGCCACTACTTTGAAAAGTCTGGATTTACGGACCTCATTTCATCCTGTGTGCTGATTCAAGCAGGCACAGCCCCAGAACATTTATATTTTGCAATTCAAATCAATTAAATTTTTTTTATACTTCCATTTTAGCCTCTGCAGCAAGAGCTGTAGGGAAGAAATAAGGGCAGACCATGGCAAGATCACTCAGTAAGACTGAGTGATCCACATCTATGGGTGGAGCACTGGCACATGGGGCTGCCGTGTGTTTGGGCAAGAGGAAGAATTCAGTTGCGGTAGCAGACTGAAAGTGAAGGTCTGCCTTTGCTGTTCCTAAACCTGGCAGCCCTACCCCACATTCAGGTAGCTAAATCTGTTACTTCCATGCCTGAGATACTTGTGTTAATTGCATAAATGCCAACAAAAATAACCTGTTTTGAAAGTGTTGGAAGTGTAAATAGCTGCTCTTCTGAAATGGCCACAGTGGATGTATTTTGGCTCAGCTGTGCTCTCGCAATACCACTGGCAAGTGCATCTTATCTGTTCTAATATCAAGCTGTAGCATTCTATTAGTATCTTTTCATAATATTATTGATGCCCCTGCAAAAACTGCAGTAGAATAGTCTTTAAATACTGGCTTTTTGTATGTCTCACACAACTGCCACAGGAACAGCACACTACTGTTCCAGCTTTTTGAAGAAGCAGTGCTACTGCTCCCCACCAGCTCCCGCTGCCTGCTCCATAATGCCCTTATTATTTATGCTTTTTCTCTTGAAAATTCGAGTTTAGAACTTAAAATTTTCATGGTTTTGTTTCTCCAAACTAATCAAAGGCAGTGAATGGCCCTGATGTAATCTGTGCAGTGTGTGCTGTGGCTGAGCATCCACTGCTGTGAAAGTGCTGCTTGTTCTCTGAAAGGAGGAATTCTTTCAGCCAGCGTCATTGCCCCCTCCTCCAGCCTGCTTCTCCCAGGCGCTTGGAGGACTCACTGCCAGTCATTTTCTTGCCCTAAAAGTTCTTGCTCCTAAAAGGAGCAACACCATCATTTACCCCACATATGCCCAGGGCCAAACTCCTCAAGGGTTGGCCTCTATGGACAATCAGAAATAGTAAACAATCCTATCTTTTGAATCATCTTTTCTTTGGATTGGTCCCTAGAGAGCTGATGCTGATGGAGAGACCTCTAAGTGCTTTAAATAACTCAGTGATGTGCCTTCTACATGCACATCTTTGTCCTAAGAGGAAAATGTTCCATCTGAAGTACCGTAAAGTATTTGAAAATAGTTATTGTATGCTTAAGCAAGATGGTGTTTGTTGATATTTTGTGAAGATACCTGAACATGGAAAACCTCCTTCTATAAACGTTGTCTGATTTGTATAGTTTAACTGCAGAAACGTAAGAGACAAGAAAGGGATGTTGCACATGGTGCAAACATGATGATACAAAATCAGAGCAAGATTGCAACAAATGACATATTTTATCCCAAATACTTTTTTAAACCTCTACAATTTTTCTTCAATTTCATTTATTTTTGAAACTTTTTTCTGACTAAGTGACAGGCATGCCTAGAACTGTGAACACAGAGGTATCAATGCAAAAAAGTATCACCTGCCACTTGCAGTCCTGGCAGTGAGTTGAAGGCTGGGAGATCTTCTACAGCAGCAAGAACAGGGAAGTTCTGGGGCAGCAGCTCTACAGCAAGATGCACCAGATTGAGGAAAAAGGAGAAATATTAAGAGAAATCACATCAAACAAGTGTTTCCCATGGATAAAGTATGTCTCTACTCCTCCCAGGCAGATGTAGCTTTCAGGTCACAGTGGCTAGTCTGTTCCACAGCCTGTGTCCGTGTCCCTCTTGCTGTGGGACTGACTTTTGTTAACAGAGGAACCAAGACCAAACTGATAACATTCATCTCTGTTCTTGCTCTGACATGGTTATTCGTTAGTTCTTCCTAATGACTGCTCAGTTCCTTCCTTTGAGGGAGCCACTCCTCTTCTGTTCAGGTTGGATAATGAGTCACTGACTTTAATACCAACTGCTATTAACCCTTCCTTTACACAACCAACATCTGGGAACTGTGGAACACGTTGTGTCTCAGTGCTGAGGAAGAAGACTGATGAATCCTGCAGGCTTTCTGCTGCTGGTTCATGAAAAAACACCTTGTTTGCCTTGTGTCTTTGATTAATTGCTCTTTAAGTCTTGCTTAATCTACCTGCCTTCCAGAGTAATTTTGTTTTCCATAAATTTAACTTATTTTCCATGGTATTCTCTTCTGGCCAAACTTTTAGTTTGTATTAAATAAATTCTGGAAGTACCTTATGCTTTTCCTCTCTCTTTTCTTCTCTCTGGAGAGGGAGGGTTGTGTTTGTGGCTAGGCACAAACTGGCAGTGCTCAGCTCTGCTGTGCCTCCCTGACTCCAAGGGTGCTGACAGCCAGACTCCTGGTGGCATATGCTCTGGACTAGTTTCCTTCCTAAACAAAAAAAAAAGCAGAAAAAAAGCACAAGCAAATTTATCATCTTTTATTTATAGATGATTTGCCATTCCTAAGGCTATTGAACCTAAAGACCCTGTGAGACAATGACAAGAAGGGAATTCTTCTTGACCCAGTTATTGCTTACAAGGCTACTTAGAGAATAGCTTGTTTTTGATCAAGCTTTGCAGTGTTGGAGCATTGGACACATGCAGGGCTGTCTGAAAATCTGCTTTTTAGGCACCTCATGTACAGCAGTACTTGTTATTTTACCAAATTTTGGTGATTTTTAGAATATTTGAAATTCTGCAGTTCTTTCTCCTTGATTGACTTTCCTTCTATTAGCACTATAGGCTTGCTACCATGTTTTGTGTGCTCCTCAAAGTGTTCTAAATTACTTTATTATTTAATGTTATAATAACATATCTATTCTTATAGGGTAGTCTAAGAATTCTAAGGGAAAAGTAGTTCAGAAAGAGACCGCACTATTTACTTAGGAAAACACACTCTCAGATTACTGCAAAAACAGATTTCCAAGAAGGAAGTTGCACTTGTCATTGCTTTCTTCCATAGCTTTTCCAGTATTCTTTACTCCATCATCCTGCTGCTGCACTGGTTGGGCTCAGACACAGGCCCATGGCTCTCACTGCCTGGGAGTGAGCTGGCCCATTCCCTGCTGGGAATATTTACTGCACGTGCCAATCCAGCCTGACTGAAATCTCATTAACAATATGCTTTTCCTCATTAAAAAATTATTCATGTGGACATACAGCATCAGCAGCTTGGCACTTTAGTTTTCAAACACCTGAACAGCAGAGAACTGCTTAGGTGCTGTGGTATTACTGCAAAGATAAACTTGCAGGCAACTTGCAAGTTGGGTACCTCGACCTTTTAAAAACTAATTTCATCTGGTAAAACTGAAGACACTACTGTGAAGACACAGTAATTCCTCACTGTCTGTGCAGTGAAGAGTAGGTTTCTTCCAGCAGTTGATACTAATGCTCATTTATGGGTTTCTTCCCTGATAGTTGATACTCTAGGTTCATTTACCAGTTATGGCAACAGTTTGGCTGCCCTGTGGATGGCAGGTCTCAAGATGCAAGCAGTTGCCACTTTAAGCATGTCTAAGGTGAAAAGGCTGCCAAAAACATTGAGGGAGGTGATTGTGTATCCCCATTCTGCACTGGTGTGGCCTCACCTCAAGTCTCGTGTGCAGTTTCAGGTGCCACAGTACAAGAAAAATGTAAAGTTATTAGAGAGTGTTAGGACACTAAAGGAGTGCTACGAAGATGGTGAAAGGTCTGGAGGGGCCCTACAGAGAGGGGCTGGGGACACTTGGTTTGCTCAGCTGGAGAAGGGAAGACTGAGGGCAGAGCTCCCCGGGGGCTGCAGCTCCTCCCGAGGGGCAGCTCCGATCTCTGCTCCCTGGGACAGGGACAGCAGCCAGGGAACGGCTGGAGCTGTCCAGGGGAGGGCTAGGGTGGCTATCAGGGAAAGATTCTGTCCCCAGAGGGTGTTTGGGCACGTCCCCAAGGCTGCCAGAGCTCCAGGAGCATTTGGACAAGGCTCTCAGGGATGCACAGGGTGGGATTGTTGGGGTGTCTGTGCCGGGCCAGGAGTTGGACTCGATGGTCCCTGCAGATCCCTTCCAGCCCGAGGTATTCTACGATCTGCAAGCTTTACCAGCAGCAGCAAACGCTCAGGCGATAGAAGCCAGGCCAGCCGGTCACTTTTACCGGAGGCGCTATGGGCAGGCCGGGAGCCCCGCGGCTCTGGCCCGGCCCGAACCGAACCGCTGCGGGGCCACTTCTGCTGCCCCATCACGGCCGAACACCCCCGA